AAACAACACATCGTAGGATAAAGTGATCGAGAGAAAGAATAACAAATAAGAAAATAATTTTTTTTGCAACAACATAAACGAACAACATAACACCTATTAAACAACATAAAAACAACCTTTAACCTACCATGAAACAATAGTAAAGAACTCAAACTATGATCAGAATACACAATTTAATAACAAAGTATTAAAACAAATAATAACAAAAGTTCAGTCAAATTTTCTAAAATAGAATGAAACTCGTTTCCCCAATATAATTAATAACTAATTCACAAACATAAATAAATCAAAAAAAAAAAAATCGAACACTTCCTACTAATCTTTGAGGTTGAAAAACACCAATTCTAATACGCTATATGAAGCCCAGTATTTCGACCAAGGCAACCAAACTCACAGAATTTTGAAGTAAATTTTAACTAAAAATTTTCTAACAACACCGAACCCTTCTCAAGGCTAAGAAAAGGGTCATCAACACCAAATTTTCACAAAACGGAGGCCATATTGGGGATGGCAAAACGACATTCCAAAACAACCAAGAGAGTCAAAACCAAATTAAAAAAAAAAAGGAAAAACAAACCAAATAAATGGTAACAAACAAAACCAAAGAAAAGAAAACCAAATATGTAATAATCAAGAAAAAAATACAGATCTGAACGTCTGGTCACCTGACGTCAGTCGAAAACTTGTACGGCAACCCCGAAGAGCAACCGCAGTGGTCGGGGATGTAAGTACCCGACAGATGGTCGTCGGACATTGAAATCGTGGTTGTCGTTGGGTGTAGCCGCGCCTCTAACGAAATCGATGAAAAAAAGAAGAAGAAACAAAGAAAGTGATGAAGAAAAAGAACGAAGAATTCGGCTGTGAGCCTATTAATTGGGTCGAACTCCGAATCAGATTTTCAATGTCCGAAATTGAAGAGATAGATTGATACACTCACAATCATTTTTTTTTTATTGATTTATGAATATGAAATTTTGAAGATATATGCAGCAATGAAAAAACATAAAAGAAAAATATAGGAGAAGAAGGAATTAAAAAGGGATAGGTTACGAGAAGAGAATGAGAAATTTAAGGAAGATGATGAACCGTTTCACACGATTATCAAAAGGAGTATAATTGCAAACAAAAAAGATTCATATTGTCTAAATAATAAGTAAAGGCAATTATATAAATTGTTTAAACAAAGAGATAGTGTGCGTCATTAATTCATAAAAAATAGATGCTAATTGTGCCGTTTGACTCTTCAGCCCAAATTTGACTCTTTAGTTGCATTTGTTCCTCCTCCCAAATAATCGGTCACTTCTCTAACCCTACCTCTCCGGTTGGTGAGGTCATGACAATTGCTTACAACATGTTTAAGTTCTAAAGGAAACTAACATTTTTCTTAGTAGAGATGGAACGTGTTCCTTTAACATTATATAATATTGGGAGATGCTATGGTCCCTTTGAGATTCCAAGATGTATAGAAGCATTGTGGGAGCATCACAATATGCTACAATTACAAGACCATAAATCAGTTACTGTGTGAATAATGTGTCTTAGTTCATTTAATCACCTCTTGCAACACATTAGAAAGCTGTTAAAAGGATCCTAAGGTATTTGGTAGGTACAACAGACATTGGCTTGAACCTTATACCATCAACTAAATTTAATCTCATAGGATATGCTAATGCTGATTGAGGGTCAGACCTGGTTGATAGAAGATCAACCAGTGGATATTGTGTGTTCATGGGATCAAATCTTGTGACAGGGAGCTAAAAAAATACTGGCTAGTGTGTCAAGATCTAGCACTGAGGCAGAATATAGATCACTTGCTTATGCTACTTGTGACGTAGTTTGGTTGAAAAGCTTAGCTCAAAATTGGGACAAAACAAACTGTTGTTATTTGTATGGATAACATGGGAGTTGTGGCTTTGGCAGGAAATCTTGTTTTCACTTAATAACTAAACATCTATAAATAGATTTGCACTTCATCGGAGAGAAGTTTGAAGCATAAGAGATTTCAGTCAGACACATTCCAACAATTGGTCAGGTTGCAGATATTTTTACCAATCCAATAACTGGTCAAGTTTTCAGAAGACTAAGAAACAAACTATGCATGGTTCTTAACCCCTTGCTCAAACTGAGGGGGAATGTTAGAATACACCATGCACTTGAGCCAAATGAATACAAGCCACAAAGGACTGCCAAAACCACCTCAACATATGCCCAAGAAACACCTCATCATGCAATAAGATAACTCATTTTATCCAACCGTTGGATTGTTGTACTAGGAATATGTACACTGAAAACCATAAATAACAGTATCATATTTTTTTTTTTGGATCTAAGCTTCCTTGCTTTTATTGCTTCTTGTTTTTTTTCTACATAATGACTCTATCATATTCTTATAAGATGTAGTGAATTGTTAATGTTCTTTGTTTAGCTATGAATTGTACTAGAGTTTCTTTTTTTTTTTCTTTTTTTTTTTAGATTTTTGTATGATTTTAACACATGAGAGTTGTGAGAGGAATGATGAAGATCCATTTGAGGGATCCAGTGGTAAATAAGTGAAGAGAAATAAAAAGTAGATGCTATTGTGCCGTTTCAACATGAAGCCCAATATTAAAATTATTTAAGTGAATGAGCTCAACAATAATAATAATAAACAGCCCAAAGAGTTTATCAACCCCTCCTCTTCAGCCCGAATTTGATTCTTCAATTGCATTTGTTCCTCATCCCAAATCAGTCACTTAGCCCAACAATAATTATAAATAGCCCAAAGAGTTTATCAACCCCTCCTTTTCAGCCCGTTTGACTCTTCAATTGCATTTGTTCCTCATCCCAAATCAGTCACTTAGCTAACCCACTTTAAGACATTATAGCAGCCAGAAACTAATAAACATCTGCAGTTTATTACCATCTTGATCATTTTTTTTTTCTAGCACATTAGTTACCTTCAAAATTACACAAATTCAAATAATACAATTCAACATGATTAATTTCATTTCTTCTCCCAAAAAACAATCTCATCAAGTCATCATTCTCCGGTTCGGTTCAACCTTCTTACGACCGTCACAACTCGAGCACGACGACTGTTGAAAACCGAAATCGATCATTACATACACAATAAAAAAAAATTAAAAACATGTTCTTTATTTATTTAATTATTTGAAACGTGCAAATTTTATGCAGAGAGTGGCCTTACAGTCAGAATCCGTGGTGATCCAGTTCCCCGGTCGGGCGACAGACTGATCTCGAACGTGCAAAGGAGTCGAACTTATTGACTCAGGTTTGACCGCTCGGTCGTGTTTCAATGAGGAAGCCACTTGAGAAATTGCTGAGTATACAGAGGAAGTGGTCGAGCAGCTCTCGACTTCCCACCTGAAGCTGATCTTTGGAGACTCGTCGTTAAGCTGGTCGTTGTGCGGCAATGCCTTCAAAGCCGCCCGATTCTTGAAAAGCAACACCTGTAATAATCAGTAAATAAAACTAAAGTGATCGTTTTTAAGAGGGAAGTTATTTGCAGTTTTGGAAGAAAGTCGGGTTCTTTACGTAAGTAGAAAGAAAGAAAAAAAGAGCATATTCGAAAACTAACCTTTCGTCCGATGTATTTCCCGCCTTTTTCGGTCTTGGCAGCCGCTGCCCACTTAAGCAACTCTTTCATTCTGAATATGGTTTTCATTCTGTCCCCCTTCGACTTTTCCTTCTTGTCCGGATTAGGACATTGTTCGTCGTTCGAGGAATGAGACGTGTCGGTTATAGGCAAGACTTTATTCCCCACGTTCGAATCAGTCTTTTGGGCAAGGCCAAGTTCTTCTTTCTTCATCTTCATGGAATTCGCAGAATGAGGCCTTTTACGGCAACCTTTGATCGACTTCAGGTTGAGTGTGTGGTAGAAGTAACTATTTTTCCGTATAAAGTCGAAAAGATGAAAATCCTCGCAGTTCAATCCGCTTTGTTCGACTCTTTTCGAGCACCTTTGTTTAAATCCACAGTCGTCGAAGGGCACTATATCTTTCGACTTAACTTCCTTCTGATCTGAAAACCATAAGGGGGAAAACAAAACAAAAGAATCAAGAACTTTTCGCATTATTAACATTTTATAACTAGGGCTGCTCATTCGGTCAAAACCGAACCAACCGAAACCCGAAAAAAAAAAAAAAAANAAATCACACTGTAGAAATTCTAGCAAGGACTATGTAATGTAGCTTACCTTTAGAATTAGCCACCCTTGAAGGTTCTTGTGTTGTTATCTTGGAGAGCCACTCAATGATCTGTTTGCATATATATGAAGAAAAAAAAGAAGAGATTGTGTAATTATTAAGATGTGGGATTATTGATTTTTTTTTTTTATTTTTTTCATGTGAAGATGATCCAGGCAGTACTGATTAATTTTGACAAAAAATAAAAATAAATAAATAAATAAAATAAAAAATTATAAAAATTGCAGGGGCTAACTCACCTGCATGTTAGGTTCAATATATTTAGTGTCCTTGTAATTGAATCTTTTATTACAACTCAAGTGCAAAATATGGGAGACAATTTGGTTTGGTCAAATGAAACAGCACACAGGCAATCTATCTATCTATCTGTGCTGTCTGTACATTCACAAAAGATTCTTTTTTTTTTGGCTATTTTCATATGCAGAGAGCTCAGATGCTGTTTGCACATGGAGAATTAAGATTAGTGAAAATTATATTTATTTTTTTTTTATTTTTTTTTTCTTGGGATTAATGTGAGAATATGGATATGGTGAGACAACTAGGCAATGAGAGAGGGCTGGGTTGTCTTGTGACTCTGAGAGCCAATAAAAAGGTTTGTTTTTATAAGGTGATCATATGGGTTGTAATAAATAACCATGTAAATTAATCATACAGTTGTAGATTATTAATCAATTGAATTTAAGGAGTAAATGACCAATAGGGGTTGGCTCAAGTGGTAAGCAACTTGATGTCGTTTAAGCAAGGTCTCGGTTCGAGTCTTTGTGAATGCAGAAAACCCTTGTTGGGAGACTCACCCACCATTGCCAGGTGTGCGACCTGGGTCGACCAACGGATTAGTCGGGGCATAGCTCCGAATACCGTGGCTGACTACAAAAAAAA